CCATTACGAGCGATCAGTATCGGCTACAATTGATTCGTTTGAGCTGTGCATTGCGAGAAAAACGGCCGGAATACGAGCAAAGATGTGGTCTTCTTCATGACAACGCTCAGCCTCATGTCGCTAAAGTCGTAAAAAAATATTTGGAAATGCTCAAATGAAATGTTTTACCACACCGTATTCTCTGGACATTGTTCCTTCTGATTACTGTTCGAAGGATGCAGCAAGTCACCGGTTCATTTCTTTCGTAGAAATCGAAAATTGGCTCCAAAATTGGATCGCCTCCAAAGACGAGTCATTTTTTCGAGATGGAATTCGAAAATTGCCTGAGAGATGGGAAAAAGTAATAAGCAACGATGGACAATATTTTATATTGATCTGTTTATTCATTTTGTTCTGAAATAAATGCACATAAAAACGAACCGAACTAATTAATTGTACTCATAATAAATTTATAAATAATTTGCTTCAATGAAACTGTTTAAAACTTTAATTGTTAAATAGAAAACGACAAATTGTTTATTTATGTATTTCCGATCACTTTCACATAACGCATTTCTAATGATTTTCTCACATGTACAACAAATTGTTAGATGGATCATTAGATGGATATGTTAATCTATCTTATGTTTATAAGCAATTTAACTGGCTCTATGTATGATTTTATTTGATTTCAATGCTTTTATATAATGATTGCTTGCGGTTTTATTTCTGTAGAGTTCATTCATTGACCTTTTTTATTCTCTCAGTTTATTCTATAATTATATTCTCTGCTTTTTTACGTAATGATCTCCGGTTAACCTTGCTACTGTCATTGTATCGTCTACAGGAATGGTAATTGTAGTATATGTAATAGTGAAAATGTCACTTTCATTTCTGTATAAAGTAGGCAGGACAATATTTAAGCAGAATAATCGAAGAATTAGAAGAACAGGGCCACGCCAATTTAAACAAGAACATTTTTATCAATTAACAGAACATTAAATTTATATAAAAATGTGACTTTGTAGCAATAATTAAATATATTTCTTGTACCATGTTCTATTTTTGGATTGGCATCCTCAAAAATTTGATTAACAATTTTGATTTTTCTGATAACTATCAATCTTAACCGATTTCTTTATTCATGTATCTCATATACTTGAGCAATTTCCAATCAAATAAATATCATAAGTTGAACATCAGCTTCATTTCTGTATGAATAAATGGCATATTAGAACTGAAATAATTTACACTACATACATCATTTACATAATTATTAATTTTGACACTATTTATGTCAATATAAATTAATGCTAGAGAATGATTTGAAGGAACTTACTCTTAGAATTTCTTCAAAAATATTCCCATATAAAGAAAATTCCCACTGATTTATCTTTATCTTTCTACGTATTAGCACTGTATACGTTCTGCTTTAATTATACAAATTACACTGTTTTAAAAATATAAATTCATTGCTTCACAAACACAAATTTATATATTTAAAAACATAAATTCACTGCTGTGAACAGAAATTCTTTGCATTAGCAGTGAATTTGTGTTTTTAAAGCAGTGAATTTGTGTTTGTGAAGCAAAGAATTTGTTTTTAAAATAGCGAATTTATGTAATTAATACAGAATACGTATATACATAGCGCTATATTGAGTCGGAATTAAAGGAAGAGAGTGGCAAATTGCATCACGTGAATGTCCACGTCCAATCAGGGGATCACGTGACCAGTTTTCTTCAATCTTTTCCATACCTATAGAGCTTTGATGCCCAATCAGAGGAGATAGGTCATGTGATGCAATTTGCCACTCTCTCCTTGTGAAGCTCTCTAGTCAGGATGACAGATATCTTAATCTCTAAAGTCTACAACTTTAACGCTTAATAACTCTATTCATGAAACCGATCGCCGCGTTTTTCTGTTAGATTCTTTCGTTTTGAATGAAAATGAGCGTCACATGAGTATATTTTTATTAAAATTTTAAGTGGAGTGGTATATTCTAAATACTATATTTTTATATTATTATTAGACAAATATTCAAAGTATTATTTCATGTTTATTACTTTACTTTACTTTCTTTGCTTTGCATATTGGAATTTTAATAAACAAAATTTTCCAATTAAAAATGCACAAAATAAATTTTATATTACAAGAATGGCCCGCTGGAAAGTTGGATAGAAACGAACTTTTTAGCGTCAATCATAGATAAAATTACATAGAGTGAACAAAACGAGCATCAAGCGTTTTAGCATCGAATGAAATGGCACCTTTAGGGTAAATCACACAGTACGAAAACCGACTGCGGAATACAGAATGCGTCATAGAAGCAATCAATCAGCGCCTTTGAAATAACGCAGAAAAATGCGGATTGGCTGCTTCTGTGTCTCATTCTTTATTCTGCAGTCGTTTTCCGCACCGTGTGATTTCACCTTTAAAAATAATTGGCATGCAATTATAGTTCTGAAATAATTAATTTAAAATATTGACTAACTTTGATTGTAATTGGCAATCTCAAGGTGCGCTTCCATGGGATGCAGAACTGCAGATATGCGGAAGTGCGGAATGTTTCATTTGGTCGTGACTTTATTCCGCTGATTCCGCCGTTTTCTGTTGCGCAAATTTATTTCTTTTGTAGATTCCGCCAATGCCTGCATGTATGTACATATACTTATAAAAACTAATCTCGTTAAGCTGATTTAAACAAAGAAAACTGTCTCTTACAAGAGCGCACGGTTAATTAACATGCTGAGGTATGTTCGAATTCCTACCCGGGTGTTCTCCGAGTGTCATGTCATCCTTGTTTAATATTCATAACATAAATAACAAGAATGGAGTGATGTCTCGGAATTTGAACATAATTCCCTGAAGGTAATTAATTAAGTCTCCATAAATATGATGATCAATATGATGATCACGAGAACACGAATGTCGTATAAATATATACAGTATACAGTATACAGAAGAGCGAAAATGTAAATTAAAATTAAAATTAATGCGAGCCAATGACAAACGCTATTATGGTAGAATTAAGGTTTGCTCGCATGTTCCAACATGTTCCAACGTGCTCCTGCCATGGTTCCTACTTACTCTAATGAGTGCATTGGAATGAATAGGAGGTATGATAGGAACATGGGGTATGATGGAGCAAGCGACACGAATAAATCTATAATGATCTAATGAAAGTGACCTACTGAAAAACTCTTGTGATTGGGCTAATTGCGCATTTGAGATAATAATCGGAATATTATGTATAGTTTTAGCACTTTTGCACCACAATTGCACTTATTTAACTCCTTCGTGTCGCGTGAACATTAATTTCACTTATAATCTGTGCAGAGTGTAGAATGTGTAAAATGTGCAGAACTGTTGCAGCGTTTGCAACGCTTGCTGAATCATCATGTGTGATGTGAACGTTGCTAGCACATTTGCCTCTTGCGCCAAAAATTTTAAAAGGACATTTTCCCCACTCCGTAGCGGCGATGATGATGACGATGATGTTTCTTACATTAAAAGTTTCAAATTCGTATTTTTCGTCGCAATGTGGCCGCTAGGACAAGTAGAGAAAAAATAAGTGTACTATACAATCTGTATAGTACATATTTTTTTAGTATGCTATTGATTAAGTGTATATAAAACGTGATCGGTTCTACCCTTATTGAGATATGATAATCTCGATCCCCCGCAATTTGCCAGCTCACGTAAAATAGCCATGGCAGTGTCTGCGCTTGGCTTAGCGAGAAACTACCAATGTCTCCAGATAAAGCTAAATAATTGCTGAAACACTTGTAAAAATCGATGAAAAATGTCCTTTCCTTGATAGTCAGTAAATAGTCAGTAAAAAGCACATAAAGTGAACCAATACTCGAACAGAAACACACGGTTTAACAACTGTTGAAACGAGTGAAAATATGCTTTTACATATAAAATTCCAAGATAAGTTTCTGTCCATGTTGAGACTTTCATAAGTCTTAAAAACGAGATAAGTCACGAGATTTTCACAATTAAGCAAATAATAACGAAATAGCATGCAATACAAATCATGTTTCCTCATCAAAATGTCACTTTTTCTATGTCTATGAGTTCAATTGCCATTTATCGTGGCAGAACACTATAACACACATATAAACACGAGCCTATTATAATATTATAATATTATAAATTAAGATTTCTCTTTCTTATTATTCATATGTGAACTATGATAATGATAATAATATTATAAATTATTATAATATATGATGAAAATATAAATAATTTTTATTTGTCAATTGGAAAGCGAAATGGATTTGTTTTTATATTTATTGCTTTAAAACTCCTATTATGAATTATTTCAAAATACGAATTATTTCAAAATATATCCTATTATAAATTATTTCAAAAATTAAATCTCTCCTAAACTGTTACGTTTTGACATGATTCATACTATTTTGGATTAATGGGAAAGGTATACTATTACTACAATTTATTATAAAACTTATATATTAATTAGAATGCCTCCTCGCCCCTACTGATATCGTCGAGCGGCCGAAACTATCGAGAAAGCATTTTTGATCGTTTGAAACAAGTGACTAAAACAAGAAAGATGGCTCGCTGTCTTGTTCGCTCTTGACGCGCTGAAGACAAGTACACAGATGGATTCGTGTTTGTGTGTGTGTGAGGCTCTCGACATACAAGGCCGTAATTCTGTGGTTGTCACCGTCAATGCAGAGTTCTTGACTGAGTATTCAGGAATCTTAATCCGTATTAAAATCCTATAATCTCGGCTCACAACTTGCTGGCTCGCATAGTAAAAGTACACGGTATTAAAGCTATATTTCCATTTAGCGCCGATATTACTGTGTCTTCTGTTAGTTATTATTAGATTAGCTATTAAAACTTATCTCCATATTTATACCTTATACACGTATTTTCATTTTAATAATGCTGGGTTTTTTGCAGCTAATTTATAATACGTAATTGTTATACAATATGTAATACTATGGTATTATATTATATATATTATAATTATGCGTTTTCTTAGTTTGCAGTAATTTTTGCTGGTGCACAAAAAAATATTGGTCCTGCTGGTGTTACATTAGTAATCGTCCGAAATGATATACTAGGTCGTGCTATGGATGTGTGTCCAACAGTGCTAAATTTTACTATTATGGCGAATGATAATTCTTTGCATAATACTCCTCCTGTTTTTCAGTAAGTATCATAGATTACATTACTAATTTCATAATAACTGGATGTAAAATATATACAAGTATCGTACATGATTGATTCGACATATGCAAGGTACGATCAAAAATAAATCTTAAAAAAGTTTATGAAACATTTATTTTTACATTTAAAATTTTATATACTTCGGAATATATATAGTATAGAAAATTTTTTTATATAATATTTTCTTTATATTTTACATATATTTTTAAATATAGTAGTTAAAAATTTGTAGTTTTTATAGGGTACTAGTAGCAGTATTTATAATATTTTGTATTTATAATAAACATTAAAGGAGCATATAGACCAAATGCAGGATGTTATTGCACGATATCTATTTATCAATATTTAAAATATATATATAATATATACAGGTCTAATATGTACAGGTCGTTAATCATGATCTTTATTTCGTTTACAAATGGGCATCATCTAATTCCCTTCACCTAAATCCCTCCAAATTTGCCTACTTATAGCCGATTCTTCCTCCTCGCTTTCTTGATTCTCATCCTTTTGTATCTCTCTCAATTCTATTCCTATTCCATGTTTCTCCTCCATTAAAATATTTGATATACATTTTGATTCTTCTTGATTCTTTTGTAATTATGTCGCTGATAATTATCAGGCTGTTTTTCTTCATCTTCTTCTTTACTCGTTTCGCCATATTCTTACTACCGCTTAGAAACTCTTGATATTTTAACTTCTTATAATTAATCCTCTTCAACTACGCAAATTGTTTATAGTTTTAACCCAAAAATTATCTTGTATCCAACGCATTCAAAATTCCTGTTTTTATTTTTCCTATAACGCTCGTATGATGATATATCTCTCTTATTCACTCGATTCGATTGGTTAAACATCCATCAATGTTTTACTCTTCATCTTCTTTGTTGTTTTATTTTTCGCTTCGTTGTAACATCCCTTTTTATCTTTATAATATTTTACATCTTAATTCTAAGTTTCACCCTCGAGATATCCATCTTACTCGGTATCACGATTCCTTGTCTTTTCCCGTCCATCACTCAACCAAATTTCACGTTCCATTTTCCTATGTCGCTGTAAAAATTTTTAATACACTACCTCTCTCCATCCGATCCTCTTCCTTTCCTCTTTTCACTTGACAGTATCTCATTTCTTACTTTTTTCAGAAATATGACTATTTTATCTTGATTTCTACTGCGCTACTTCTCATTTTCTTTGCGTATTAATTATCGCTATTGGCAATGACATATAAAAATTCACATTGTAATCTTGTTTTTGTTTCTGTCATGTTGTATTTTGTATTATATATTTTGTATTCATCATACACAATTTCGTTTTCTTTTTATTTGTACACTTACACTCATCTTGTAACTCGTTATAATGTATCTTGTATTATCTCTGTGTACAATTTGTCGTCAATTTCATTTTTTATCTCAGATTTCACTCGCTATTATCCACCCAGCACAGAAACTTGCAGTAACATTGCAAAAATATTGCAATATTGCAAATTGCGCTGCAACATTGTAGATACTAGGAATTATAATATTATATATACTACATATATAGGGTATGTCATCAAAATCTAGATAAATCGAACAATTTCTTTAAACAAAATGTTTTTAATGAAAAATTAAATATTACAAAAAAATCTTTTTACATGGCACGTGAGGGATCCCTGTAGAACACAATTATTCGTTATATTATCCATTAGTTTGAATCTCGGCCTCTATTCTCGGTCTGAGCATTCGCACGCATGCTGTAATGTAGCGCTATTCATGCCGACGAATGCTGCCTCAATAGCGGTCCTTAATGACGTTACATTGGGATGCCGAGATTTGTTTATGACTCTTTCAACTACGTTTCATACATAGTAGTTCAAGGGATTTAAATCTGGGCTGTTGGGAGGCCAGAATGGGAGCCGAGGTGAGCAAGAGGAGCTCGGCTTGTCCTAGCAGCCTCAGAGAACATCTGTCGTATCTTTAATGTATACGATTTGTATCGAAGATCTTCCTTGGCAATTCGATTATTGGTTCGCTTACATCAACAATCGATGCTAATTTTCGCAACGATTGCGAAAAAGCTTAATGAGCTTTGTTGTTCTGAATGCATCCAATTATTTCTATTAATTTAGGAATTATAGTGTTTATTGAAACATTTGTTGTTGCTGCCGCGCGACAAAATTTTTATAATTATCTCTAATAATTTGTTGGAATATTTGAATTAAAAAAATTTGTTTGAATATTGTAAAGAAAATGAAATAGAATTTGTGAAGTTTCTTATTATTTTCATTTTATTAGAATAATGTATAAAATAGGTGTACCTGCATAAAGTATAAAATATGTATCCAGAAATAGTTGGCCTTTAAGAACATATTCCACTCATTGTAGGAATGAAAAAAAGTCACATAAACATGGATTCAGAAACGCTTCCTTTCAAAGTTATAAATATTTTATTTTATACTTTTATTTTATACTTATATCTATTTTTTATTTTATACTTATATCTATATTTTCATTATAGAAATAACTAGAAATGATTTCTTTTCGCATCGATGCGTGCTTCATCGACGTCGCTTGGATTGTCGAAGGCGCTCAAAAATTCTTGGAGTATTTCCTATTTCTTCATGCAGCGATAATACGATTTCAGAGAACTTTCACAGTAACAACAAGAATATCATACATATGATACAAGAATATCAATTGTGTGGATTATCGTTACGTGTGGAAAAATACAAAGGAAATCATTTCCAACAATTTTTGTAATGAAAATATAGATAAATATAAAATAAAAAATAGATATAAGTATAAAATATAATATAAAATAAAATATAAT